GAAGAATTGTGCCTTGACAAATGTATTACACCACTGAGCCATAATCCTCAAGAATAACACAAGGAATATGCTGAATCTTAGGCCAGTCGCTGCCGTTTGGGCCTCGGCATCTTTTGATCAATTTTTTGGAGCAAAGGACGATTTTGAGCTCGTGCAGAGCCGCGAGGTCGCGGATGCTTTCAGGCAGACACGTCAAGTGATCGCAGCAAACCAATTCCAGAGTTTCAAGGTAGGAGAAACAACGTATCCATTCGGGCAATTCCCTCAAATCAGCGAACCCTATCTCGAGAGAACGAAGATTCATCAAGTGTCGAAGCGCTCTAGGCAGACTCACTAGTTGCCAAAGACCAAATAGTTTTAGGGAACGAAGACTGGTTTTGAAGGCCTTCCATGGCATATCATTAGGAATTGTGCAACGTTCGCCTTTGTCTTCACATTCTAGATCAATCTGGTCACAGGAAAGAACTGCAAACCTCTCCAATGCAGTAAGATGTTCCAAGCCTTTAGGGAGGGATCTCAAGTTTTTGCAAGAGTGGAATGACAAAGATCGGAGAGAAGAAGATAAAGTTGCAAACAAGTCTCCAAATTTGTCAGTGGAAACTAGTGAGGAATCCTTTATACAGAGCCGAGAAAGCTGAAGCAGACACTGTGTCGGGATGCGTAAAAGATCTTCAGCGATATTAACCGTCAGTGACGTCAACCTCGACGAAGCTGTTACAATGTTCAGTATTGAGAAATTGTTAAGTGTGTGTGACAGATGCACTTCCTCCACACTAGGACAGGATGGCAGCGATGTTAGGTTCGTACACCAATGTATATCTAATTTTGATAACTTGGGAAACGATAACCCGGGTGGTTGTGCTCCGTAAGGTTCACCACCAGCTCCCTTCCACCATCCTTTCAAACAATGCATCACATGCAGCTCAAGTGTTTCAAGAGATGGGAAGAATAATGTTGTTGATGATGAATGGTCTCCATCTATCATCGTCTCCATGAATTCCAAAGACAGCAATCGTGTAAGTGAAAGGCGCTTCAAAAGAGGCAGTTGGCTAAACGCGGGGATTTGGCAGTGGTTCCATTCGTAAAGTTCAATTTCAACTAGTTTTGAAAGAGTAAGAACCAAGCTCTCCTTCATTGCCCAATTCGGGAGCTTCCAGCCCTTGTAATGTGATATCTTTAGCTTCCTTAAATTGGGATGTGGTTTTAGGCCTTCCAGCACCACCTCATCATGATCTTTAGAATCAGAGTCAACCACCTCATCATGATAATCAGAATCAGAGAAAACAATGGTAAAAGTTATCTCCAACTCATTCACACCATGTTTGCAGGTCAAGTCCCCCTCTCTTGCTTCTAGCATCGTAGTCTCCAAGTCGCCATGAAAAACTATGTGCAACTTTCCTCTCAAGCTATTGAGCTTCTTTAGATCACTTAGTCTAGCACTACCGACATGCTTAGTCACTATGAAAAGTGGTAGGTTACGGAGAGAAGTCAATTCGCCTATTCCTAGAGGCATGTGACGAAACTCGGGATAACATTCACCAATATCAAGACTTCTTAAATTGACAAGTCTTTTGATATTTGTAGGTAATGATGTAAGCCTCTTACAACGGTTTAGATTTAGCATTTGCAAGTTGTGGAGTTCTGTGATTGAATCAGGGAGGACACGAATAGGATTCAAGGAGAGATCGAGGTACCTTAAGTGGATCAATTTGCCTATTGAAGTAGGTAGATTGATCAATCCAAGGCCATGCAAATCCAACACCCTCAACTTAGTTAAGCTTGATGTGATTTCTTTGAGCATTGGTTTTCTAAAAGTCGACCCGTCGCTTAGTTGTTGTGGCAATAACAACGTCCTCAGATGCTCCAAACTTAGCACTGCTGCCGGAATATTCCTCTGAAAGTTCAACCGGTAAGCAAAAGACAAGTGATAAATTTTGTTCGGGTGGCAACCCTCATCGGCTTTCAAGACCTTACACTTGGCCCCGGCCACTTCTTGAGCAAGATCATGCATCAAGTCGTGCATTTTGCAACTCTCGATGCAGAGTCCCCATTCATCCATTTTGACATCTTGGAAGAATCCCCTTTGCAACAGAGTAAGAAAATACTCCTCGCCGAGCTCTTCAAGGCTCTGGCTTTCATCTGGTTGAGCAATGAATCCCTCGGCCAACCAAAGACCCATTAACATATCCTTGTTGAAGACGTAGTCTTTGGGGAACAGAGCGCAATAAGCAAAACAATTTTTCAAAGGAGATTCGAGATGATAGTAGCTAAGCTTGAGAATGCTCATAATGTCCCCCTTCTCAGACATTTTTGCAAGACTTTTGTTTTTAATTGACAACCACTTGCTTTCATCTTTACCATAAAGAATGCTTCCCAAAACTCTTATGGCCAATGGAACATTGGCGCACTTCTCAACAATTTCCTTTCCGATATCAACAAGGTGTGTCATCTGTCCAGGCACAAATGCGACCTTTTCAAACAACTCCCACGACTTCTCTTTTGATAGGCCTCGTAAGTCATGAGGAGGAACCGTGCACATTATTCTAGCCGTCGTACTCAGCCGAGTAGTTATCAATATCTTACTCCCACTCCTGCCACTTTTCAAAAGAGCCCTCATCTTTACCCATTTCTCGCGATTCTCATTCCACACATCGTCCAAAACCAGCAAGTACTTGTTATCGCCCATCTCGGCCCTCAATCTGCTCTGTAGCTGGTCCATCTCTAACTTTGGGGTTTCTGAATTGGTTGCAGATTTGAGAATCTTCTCAGTAATTTCCTTGATATCAAACACATCAGACACACACACCCACAATCTCAACCCGAAATTTTTCTCAACCAAAGGGTCGTTGTAGACGAGCTGAGCCAGAGCGGTCTTCCCCATGCCCCCTATCCCCACAATGCAAATAACGTCGTGCTCATCGGCAGACGGAGGTGCAAGCAACAAGTCCAAAATGGCATTCTTATCGGCATCCCTACCGATAACTTGGTCAGCCTCGACGAGCGAATAGCTCTCGTCCCTCCTCTTGACCACTCTCCCTTGCTCGTAAGACCGGCGCACCAAGTCCAAGCCGTTCCCCACTTTAACAATGGCATCCAGCTCCTCCCTGATAGCTTTTATCCTGCGAGAGATGCTGGAAGCATATGCAATCTGATTGTGACGCGAGAAAAACATGGCCACCTCCTTGGCGAATTGGTTCCCACCGGAGAGATGTTTCCGGGTTGCGACTGTGCCAAACTCATCCAGCAGATCATCAGCAGCGTAGACAGCTTCGGTGAGGCTTAGAAGCCAGCCCCCGACAGCTTTGTTGTCGGCTTGCCGCTCCTCGGCATCAGCCAGGTAGTCTTTGATGGTGCTCACATTGCGCTCCAGCTTTTCCAGGTCGGATTTGAAGCCCCAAGCCGAAGCGATTTCTTGAATTACAGAGGAACCCACGCTCTTCAAGATTTCCTGAGCAATCCCATACAGAATTGCTGAAGCCATTGTCTTGTCCGTCTTCCGCAAGAGTTCTGTTCTTCTTCTTCTTCTTTTTTTCTAACAAAGGAAAATTCCAAGTCTATGATTGCTCTGCACAAAGTCACAAACCACACACCCACCCTTTTCTTGATAAGGGTGTCGTTACCTGTGGGCGCAGTTGGCAAGGGGTGGAAAGACAAGACCCCAATTAGATTTCTAGCAAATATCGGGTACAAACTCTAATTTTATTGTCAATTTCCAATTAAAATCCAATTTATCCTGTTCTAATAAATTATTTTAGATATATTACTCCTGTTTTACAAAATTAGAAATGTTTTAGAAAAAATGAAAGAAAAACTATTTTAAGAAACGGAAGAAGTATTTTTTTTAAGTTGTTCCTCATTTCCTCCCCTTATCTTAAGATCCAAATATTAAGGTTGAGGAAAGATGTTTTCCGTGAAAATGTATTCTAAATGAAAATGATTTGCCACTAAAAAAATTTTCCAAATTTTTTTCCAATCATATCTTACATTGTTTGTTAAGAAAAAATATATTTTCTTAAAAAGAGTTTTTTTATGAATATTTAAAAACTTGTATTCTAAACATACCAATTCAAGATTTTAAATTCTATAACATAAGAAAATAATTTGAAATCAACAATTTGAACTTTGTGAGTCAAGATGAAATCAAGTGAATTCTTTTGGAGTAATAGCAATAGAACGTGCTTTTACACTTCGGTTCTAAAGGATTTAAAATATGAACTTTAAAATTTACAATAAAGTAAAACTAAGAATTTAAAATTAAAATTAAAATTTAAAATTTAAAAATGAAAAACAAAGCTATTTAATATTACATTAAAACTCGTGCCTAGTCAGACAAAGAAGTTTTAAAGACGAATCGAGTACAAAATTATCTGTATCGATAAAATTAATAATGTTGAGTTAATCAATTGGAATTAGAAAATAACCCAAGGTAGGTGGATGGGGTGGAGTGGGTGAGGACGCGGGAAGGATAGAAGGTGCGGAATGGGGTTGGTGGAAAAGGGTGGTAGGTGTATATGGGGCCGAGGTAAGGGTGGTGGGCGGTAGGGGTGGGATGGGTGGGAGGAAATGTGGTATGGGGTGGACTGATGTGGAGGGTGCATGGGGAATTGAGCGAAGAGAGATTGAAAATTTTCCATCGAATTCTAACAAATATTTTATTTTATTAACGTAAATTATAAAACGGTGAGGTTCTAGTGACACCGGAGTACGACGGGGCGGGGATGGGGGTGCAGGGGCGGGGATAGGTGGGGGGTTTAGGGGGTGGGTTAGGGGATAGGAACCGTCAATTTTGCGAACGGAGCACCGAAGGTGCCCCAAAATATCAGTAGCACCGGAGTGGCACCGTATTCCGGTGTCACTAGAACCCCACCGATTATAAAAATGTTATAATTTTAATGTATACTTTGGGACACTACCAAATTGAATAAGTAATGCGCACTAGTCAATAAAGGGGTGCCAAACAACTACTACTCCATAATAATTTAGAAATAGTCTTTCACCTCCCTAAATTTCCACGCCTTATGGCTTGTTTGGATAAAGAAAAAAATGGAAGAAGAAAAAATAGATAGAAAGGAAAAAAGAAGAGGAGACGATGAAGAAAAAATGAAAAAAAAGATAAAATAGATAGATAATATTGCGCTTACAGTACAGAAAAATAATATTAAAAAATTACACTACAAATACTATAAAATAAGAGCAATCTTTTCATTTTATCCAATAATTGATGAAATTATAATTTGATAATGTAAATATTAGATTATATTTTACTTCGTATATTCTCTATAGATCTTCTCATTACACGCTATGAGATTTGATCGATTTTATTTTTAATCCTATTTATTTGGCTACGGGTGTAAAATTTAATAATAAAATTTATATGATAGAAAATCATATGAAAAAATTCTACAAAACAAAAGATTGTAAAAGTATATTTTTTAGAAAGTAGCGATTAATGCACACCCTTCATTGCATAAAAATATATACAGTAATAATCATATACAATATATTAATAATGAATGATTAAGAAAAATTTTATGGTTTACACATTAAAACTAGGTTTATAGACATATTTGATTATTTTTATACGGAGTATTAAATTGAGTTTTATTCAAAAATTAATTGAATTTTGAACCACCTACACATAATTATTCAATAGATAGGAGTAACATAGAAAAAATTAAGTGCAAAAAAAATCATAAAAAAACTGGGCATATTTTAAAGCAAATGAAAACGTCTACCATACAACCGAGTGTACCTAGAGTTAGGTACACCCGAAAAATATTTGTTTTGAATCAATGTAACGTTCATTGTGAAGCAACATAGTATTTATTTTCACACATTTGTTCATGGCTTCGTTTGGTAACAGCGTTTTCGATTAGCGTTAGCGTTTTGGATAAAATTTTAATAGTGTAGATTAAATCTAAAAACGCTAACGCTAAAGGCTACCGTCGGATAGCTTTTTGAAAACGCTAACGCTAATCTCTAACGCTGATGCCAAACGGGGCCCATATCAATGGAGTTAGAATATTCATTTACAAACAACGTAGTACTCATTATGAAGTAATATAGTAGTTTTCATTCTCTGAAACAACGTAGTGTTTATTTAAAAATAATGTAACACATGTATCTGGTTGACCGCTAGGGGGTGTCACCTTCCATGGTGTCCTTCCTAGGCTGATTAAATGAATGCCTCTTTTATCTTCTTTGAAGTCTACAACAAACAAGTGAGAGAGGCAAAATTCGACCTATGTAAAAAAAACTTCAATAGATTTACAGTCTGCCGCTTTTGACCACTTGACAACTCTCCCCTTCTCGGACCGAATTCGTTAAAGGTAGTGAAACTCATTTGATTGAACATAGTTCAACTCATTTCAAATAATACGTATTCGTTTATCTTCAAACCTACGTATCTAGTTCAACTACACTTTTTCTTTCCCCTCTCCATTTTCTCCTGCAACCAAACAATTGAAAATACTTATGAAATTCTATTTTTATCTCTCATTATTTTCTCTCAATCCAAACAACCCATTAATTACTACTTTCTCTGTCTCTAATTATATTAATTGTCTATTTTTAATAATATGTAAAAATTTATTTCTTCTAAGATGATTTTATTTGTAAATAGATATATACATAATGAAGAAAGACAAAGATATGAGTAAAAACATAAGAGAAGAAATAAAAAAATCCAAAATAGAACATTCTTACATTTATCTCCAAAATATGATCTATAATGTTAATAATGTGAATTAAATTATGTTCAATTTTGATATTTTTAGAATCAATCTAGATCAATATTTAACTTAGAGTTAAATAAAAAATATTTTACAAGGCAAAAGTGTTTGCTTGGAACCCGGTGGATATGTTCGGGCCGGGCTAGATGATTTAAAGACTTTTTAGTGTATTTTAATGTGGTAACATTGATAAGTATATTAAAGGAATCAAGTACTTAGTCAATCAAACACTAATCTAACTACTAATAAAGTGAATTTAAGCCTAGAAAATAGATTAAGAGAAGGTCACAAACACAAAAGAAATAACAAGAGATTGAAATTTAATAATTGAAAAATTGATTCGGGTGTTGAAAGACAAATGTTGATGATATGCCTAAAAAGAAAGGAGAATTATTTGGGGAACCAAGGTTTTCCAAATAATGAGTAGTGTAGTCTACCAATCGTTTATTTTTCATTTATATGTTATATGGTAGAAGAATTAAATCATCTAAGTTGATCCCCAATTCTTTGGTGGTTCAACCGAGACAATACCCAAGTAGACAAAATAAATTTTATTACAAACTATCAAGGATTAAACGACAAATTATCCCAAAAGTACAATCAAAGCAAACAAATAATCAAACACATGAATTATACAACATCCAAATTAAGGTATCTAGTCACTCATGATCTAAAGAGGTGTATTCAATTTAGAGACTGTTTGGCAACTTCTGAATAGGTAAGTGCTGAACCAGTAAGAGGTCTGAACCATTAAGAGCTAGTATATTGCTTAACTATTCAGAGGCAAATGTCTGATCAATTCAGATAAGAGGTCTTAACCATTCAGACTCTGTATAATACTTAACCATTGAGAGGCAAATCTCTTAACCATTCAGACATCTGAACCATTAAGAGGTTGAAACAAACAGTCTGAACCATTAAGTGTTGAACCATTCAGACATCTGAACCATTAAGAGGCTGAAACAAACAGCCCCTTAGATTTTAAAAGATTTTGATACATTGTTTAGAATCTATGGATTATGTGAAGTGTATATATTGTTTTAAATCTACACAGAGTTACATAGATTTTATAGAATCTATGGATCATTTTTCTTCCTTTTCATTTTTGTTCTTCTTTTTCTCTCCTCTTCCTCCCACTTCCTCTTCCCCACATTCTTTCTCCTTTGTCTCTTCCATCTATCTATCTTCTTCTTCCCCCACCTTTCCCCCCCTTCATTTTTACAGATCGGTTCGCCGGCGTCCCTTCTCCGTGACGGGTCTGAGACATCATCACCACCATCCAAGAAATTTAAACCCTAGGTCGGTGCCATTGCCACTCTTAATTCCCGCCGGCGCCACCGTTCCGGCCACAACAACAATGACTCCGGCGAACGACATAGTTGTAGTCTGGCTCAGATCTGTTGAACGTACGTGGATGGGCGAGACTTTGGTGTATCAGATTGGACGGCTTTCGGCCACTAGATTGAAGCTTGTATCCAAAGTGGAGAAAGGCTTGGAGCAAAATACTTTGAAATTTTTGAATGTGGCAAAGGATTTGTTTGTAATGTTTCCTTTAGAAAATTAACATCAAATCCATCAAAATCTACATTTAATAAAAATCATTCTAAATCCATGTATGGAATGTTTAATACCATTAGATTTTGATAGACATTTCAAAGTCTAATTTGAATACCATCAGATTTTAGAGAATTTTTTAAAGTCTCAATTGAATACCTACTGACTAATCTAAAAAAAATCCTACGCAATCAAGATTGAATATACCCTCCCAAATGAAAGAAAACATAGATTGAATAAAGGACATACTCTCTATATGTTAAGGAAGAACAAAATGAAGCAAAATATGAGAGCAATTGCTAGGATTCAATAATAAACTACAATAGGCTTGAAAATCAAATTAATTACTCCGCCAATGACGTCGTCTAAAACGAGAAGTCGTTGCCGTCTGAAATCGGAGGACTGGCTGCCGTTTCCGAAGCTGGAAGCTCGCCGAAGAAGGAGCAACTGAGTTGCCGCTGGTGTGCTCCGTCGTCGCCTTCGCCTTCATGTTTCCGTCGAGACGCGATCGAAGAGCCAATCCCGATCTTCGTTCTTCGCCTCTCCCCTCATTGGCCTGGTCAAACAGATATCTCATCACATTAAAAACCATCTCTTGGAAATTGTAGATTGTTCAGTGTTGGGAATTTGATTAAATATTCAAAAGTAAGAAAAAAAAGGAAAAAAAGGAAATCAAATATGTTGATTTTTTGAGATCTGCTTTCGGCTAGATTGGTGACCATTTAGCATGCTTTTGTTGACTTTTCTTGGATTGCATGATTCATGTTTGGCTATAAAACATGGGGTATTGTGCAATGAATGAGTGTGGGTTTTACACACCACCAAGGTAGAGAGAGAAATATGGGAAGAATTCTACACAAGAATACCACCGAGAAAATCCAAACGGTCTTGGTTAGTGTGGGCGAGTGTAGGGAGTAACTGATTTTAGTTACTCGAAAAAATGCATCTGGGCATAGGATAGATGTGGAAAGATCTGTTTATAAGTGTTTGGAATTTAGGCTTGTAAACATGAGAGAGTTTTTGTATATTGTCCTGAAATAGTGGAAATATAATTTTTTCTTTCATATATTCTTCTTTTGTTTGTTCTCTCATTTTTCTGGTGTTCTCAATATTTTTCGGTATCTCACGCGCTTAAAATCCCAACACTCAGTCCAAAATCATAATAATGATTAATGATATGGAATTTAATCTAAAAATAAAGTCAACAAGTCTATCAAAATATAACAACACATGCACAAATAATAGACTTGTCACTAGACTTCAAGATTGCGGTTCATCTACTAGATGTCATCTCTGGATCTCAATCGGTGAAACATTAGAGAAGTCACTTGTCACAGGAAAGAAGGGAACTTGTAAAGAAGGAAGTGGAAACCATGCTGAAGATTGGCCACATCCAGGAAGTACAGTACCGGAATGGGTTGCAAATATATTTCTCGAGCCCAAACCTCTCAGTTGGAGGATGTGCATAGATTCAACACATTTGAGAAAAGAATGCCTGATGGATCCATTCCCGCCACTAAACATTGATCAAATGGTGAATGAAACTATCGGGTGCGAGCTTATGAATTTTATGGATACCTTCAACGGGTATGACCATACCCGAATGGGCAAAAGGATGAAGATAAAGAATTACAGAGACGTAGCAGGGGATTTAAAGATCTGAGGAAGACGAGGACAATGAAAAAGAGAAGATTTTGCAAGAGGGCATTGAGAATTTAGAGATTGTAAAGAGTGAAAAAGGTAAGATGGAGGGAGTTTATATAGGTGTTTGGGAAGTTGAAATGAATGTGGTAGTTGGCATCCACCGGGTTTCAAGGTGAGGTGATGGTGGCTTTTGGCGACATGCAGAGTTTTTAGAAGAATGATGCTGGTGGTTGGCGGCACACAAGGTTTCGAGCTAATAACATTGTTTTAAAAGTCGAACCGATGAACAAATCGGCCCTGACAGTGGTTCATTGAAAGAAATAAGAATGTATGTTGTGCTTTAAAATATGATATCTAAGTGCCATAAAAATTTGAAAATAAGAATAAAATAGAAATATCACGGTGGCATTTATGTAATTAAATCGGACTTTGTCAAATGCACAACCTACTTTGTAAAATGCACCATGTAAAACTACATGCTTTATAAAATGCACCTTGACAAATATAAAATGTACCATTCTGAATTCTTTAACCAAGGTTCATTTTAATAAGAAACAACGACCTAGCATCGAGTGTTAACAATCTAGCTTACCGTCATACAACATACAAAGTCTTGAAATACATCTTTAACAAAAATACAAGTTTGTGGGGAAAACTTCCGGGTCAGACGATACCTGTCTCGGTACCTGGATATTGCCACGGTACCTCAATACCGTCCAAATAGTACCGCGTACCGTCTGGTGTCATGTACCGCCAGAGCTAATTGGCCTGTGATGGTAGCCAGCTATCGGTTTTGACAAGATGACATACCGTCTGGGCAGTATCTCTGTATCGTCTAGGCGGTATCCAAGTACCATTTCTCTGGGAGTTTTGTACAATGTTGTCCTCAACCTCGATCCAAACTTCTAAAACCTGATTTTAAGCTTCTAAACTTCATTTTAACTTTATAAAAATGTTCTCTAACATCCATAGACCATTTTTAAACATATTATTTGAAGCTTTAACAATTAAAACAAGTTTGTGATTAGAGAAGTGCTAGAGTCACAAACATTTTGGTCACAAAATACACAAACTTATTATTTATGTATTTAAATGTCTACTTTTTAATTATTTATCATTATTTTATTCACTTGGTGAGTGATATGGATAATTAATTGGAATATTTTAATTAGTTATATTATTATTTAGTAGTTAATTATTATTATTTATCAGTATTTTATAGATTAGGGTTTTTGTACGGGCCCGAGCCCATTAGGTCATGTAGGTGTGGCGTCTCATCTCTATATATTGTAATCTTGTTTCATTATTATTCAATCAATCAATAATCAAGAATTCTCTTAATATCTCTCGTCTCTCTTTTCTTGGAGTCCAGAAACGTTCGAAGTTTTCCTTCTCTCTTTACCTCCCCTTTCTTGGAATCCGAGGACGCTCGAAGTTCTTCCCTATTCGATACGATATTCGTATCAATTGGTACTCTCATTGCTTTGAACTCCAAAAAAAACAAAAAAAAATCACAAAAAAAGGAGATTAGTTGCCGCTGTTTGCCACCCTCTCCATTGTTCTATCGTTGATCCGCCGGTGCAAATCTATAAAAAAAAATAGCGAGAGAAGAAGAAATTCCCCCACTTTGAAGGCTATTTGTGATTTGTGTGGTGCGGCCGATCGAAGCAAGACCATTGCGGAGCCGCCATAGATCTAAGCCACAAATTGCAGAACAAATTTTATCAATTGGTGCTTTCATTCTTGAACTCATCACATATCCAAAAAAAACAAAAAAAAATTCAGCCTTACTCTTGCTGCGCCGAAGACTTGCTGCACCCAATCTTTCAAGTTCAAGTAAGGAGTGTAAATTTGGTGTTAATATTAAGCCTTGTTAGGCCAATTATTGTTGTCATCTACTCCAAGATTAGCCACCCAGCCACAAACCCTATTCCGGCTCCGATCTGTCAGCCACCCAGGTTCTGTTTAATTTGAGGCACTTTGGTGACTTGCTTTAATTTTTGGATTCAATTTGGAGGGAGCCATCTACAACAACTGAAGGGATGGATGTTTTTTCTCAATCGCAAAATCAAATACAACAAGATTTTTCTTCCCGAATAGATGCTCGATTCAAGCAATTAGAGACTTTGTTTATGTGCACTTGTGCACTGGACAACCTTACTAATTTGCTAGAAATTGTTCTATATGGAGAAATTGAGCACGATGAAGGAGTGTGCACACTTTACGATCACATTGATGAAATTATCAAGAATCTTCACTCATTTCGTCCTTTTGAAGGTTGGTCAAATTATGATTTTGACTTACACACATTTGTCATTGAAATCTCTTGCGCGATACAGAATTTGGTCCGTGGGCCCCCAATTTTGTCGAGTTTGATTCCATTAGAGTTACAAAACTTTAGAACAAACATGTTGGGCGCTATTAAAATTCTCACCGATACTCCGCCTTCAGCGTCAAATTTGGTCTCTACAGTACTTGAGCAACACACTGAAGCACAGGATCAAGCATCAAAGGAGGAATTAAGCGTTCACTCACAAGTTGGAGATGAAGTGGACACCGGGCCGGAAGCAATAAATAAAGATGACGGGAGGTCCAACGTTGTGGACAAAAATGAAGGTCCTCTTGCAGAAGATGTTGCTAATGTCGACAAGCCAGATCCTACATTTCAGGAATTTTCTACCTCAGCTGGTGTGGTCATTGCAGAATATGATATTCCAAAAAGTGTTGACAAAGTGACAGATGCAGATGGTAAACAAGCACACTCACCTATGTTGATTGACACCATCAAGTTGTTTGAGCTTGTCGATGTGGTCAAGACGGAGCACCTGGTTTCACCAAGAGCAACTACATATGTTCTTTGCCCTGTCTCATCTTTCCATCACTTTGCTCCAAGATCCAAGATGGTTGAAGATTCAAAGAGTGGATTGCTCCTTTGGATCAGCACTCTTTCTCCGGTCCTAAAGCACGAGTGGGAGCCTCCACCTTGAGGACAAGGTGGATTTTAAGGGGGTGGGAATGATATGGATAATTAATTGGAATATTTTAATTAGTTATATTATTATTTAGTAGTTAATTATTATTATTTATCAGTATTTTATAGATTAGGGTTTTTGTACGGGCCCGAGCCCATTAGGTCATGTAGGTGTGGCGTCTCATCTCTATATATTGTAATCCCGTTTCATTATTATTCAATCAGTCAATAATCAAGAATTCTCTTAATATCTCTCGTCTCTCTTTTCTTGGAGTCCAGAAACGTTCGAAGTTTTCCTTCTCTCTTTACCTCCCCTTTCTTGGAGTCCGAGGACGCTCGAAGTTCTTCCCTATCCGATACGATATTCGTATCAGTGAGGTGCACAAATGGAAAATTTGTGTATTTTGTGACCGAAGTTTTTGTGACTCTAGCATTTCTCTTGTGATTATGAGTACAAAAATATTTATATTTTCATATGTATACGAATCAATATGTTCAAAGACCATTCTACACCTTTTAATGTTTTTTCAAATCATGGTACATACTTGGAAATCAACGAGATGAAACTCAACGAACTAACAGGAGCGAAAACAACGTTGGAATCCATGAAATTTATTATTCCCATCACAGCTATACCTGGTATTTTGGCCGCATCTCCTTTATTACTCAACGAAATCGCAAACCATTTGAAGCTACGAATTTGTAAGACATATGGCTACAACTTTCGTGAATGCAGATTTAAATAACAAAGTTTAGAGGGTCATACGCTATCTAGAAGTGGATTTAATTGCACATAGTTTTTCTTCCATTTCTACATTCCGGCAAAACTTTGGGTAAAACAACGGCTAACTCCGGCGACGGTGATCGCTTGCGGCCTACCCTCTATACTCTAATGAAACTATAGGAAGAAGAATGAGAAAAAAGGTGCACGATTGAGGAAGGGCCAAGGCTCCTTTTATATTGGGAATGAGAAAAAGAGGTCATGGTAGATGTCTTCTTCCAATCTCTTCCTTCCGCGATTCGGTGGGTTTGTGCGATCTTGGAAGGTTTTACACACCTCTCAGCGATTTTAACTAATTCTTTCTTAGTTGGGGTACATTTTTTGGTCTAACTTTCTCCAAATTCAAACTCGATTGCATTCAAACATTCAAACTCTATGAAACTTTATAATTTTTACATTTTTTGAAATAGCTTTCTGGCGGCCAAATAGCTCTGGTGCTTCATGTGGTTTGGAAAATTGGCACCAATACTCTTTTTGTTTTCAATATTTATATCTAAAGTCTCCGTGGTTTCAAAATGTTGCACTCACATCCTCTCTGATCATTTTCTGGCCATTTTTTGGCAAAGATGGGGCATTGGCGCATAGTTTCTAAATCATAGGGGGCATTCGTGTTCATTTCTTATTTTCGTTTATTGTTTGTGTTTTCCCTTTTTTTAAAAAATATTTTCTATCTCTTTTTCCTTTTCCTAGATTTTTTTAAAATTTATTTTCAATTTTTTATAATATTTTAAAAAATTTAAAATTCTTTGTGTTTGAAATAAAAATAAAAATAAAAAAATTAACATGCATTACATCTATCTCAAATTAAGCATTTTCACTTTTTGTTATTAGAATAGTTTTTTGAAAAAGTCAAAAAGAAAACCCAGAATAAAAAAATAAAAATATGAAAATACGAAATGAAAAAAAAATTAAAATACGCAAACAATGGCTTCTCCAAAAAAAATAAGTTTGGACACACCTAAAAAAGTCCTTAGAATTGAGATGTCCAAAAAGGATATTCATTTTTATTTTTGTATTATTTTGTTTCTTATTTTATTCCTCATTTTTTTGAAGTTCTCAAAAAAATTACTTTTTTTCCAAAAAACAATTGTTAATTTGAGACGTACATATGCATTATATATTATTTTTTTCAAACAAAAAAAACTTTAAAATTTAAGAACATTATTAAAATAATTTTAAAAAAACCTTTATTAATAAATGAAACAAATAAAGGAAAAAATGGAAAAAACAAAAAATAAGCGAGAAATAAAAATTAGCACTGATACCCCATATGGTTTAAAAAATATTCACCAATCCCCCCCTTTTTCGCCAAAAAATTACTAGAAAATGATCAAAGGGGGCAGGGTTGTAGCATTTTGAAACTACAAGGACTTTAGAAATAAGTTTTGAAAACAGTTGGGGTATTGGTGCCTATTTTGCAAACAACGGGGGTTATTGGCGCTATTTGGGCATCATATTTTTGTGTGTTAGACTATGAAATAGTCAAAATTGATTTAATTGACATATATAAAAATATTTTCATATTCAATTAATATTATTCACTACAATGATTTATTCTAATAAATCATTTTCCAAAAGTTTACATCTTAAATCATTTCTTGATTTTATACAAGTAAATATTTTAAAAATGTCATAACTCAAATTCTATAAATAATATTTGATAATAAAACATATATATCATTAGATTCATCTCTTTGAAACCTATCCATAAAACTCAACTTTAGCAAAAGATCATTAATTCCAAAAATTTCTTCATTTTTGGTCAAACATAAGAACTAATACTTTGTTGGGTCAAATGGTAGTTTTATTAATACTTTTATCATAAAATAACTTTTAGGTCATGTTTTGGAGCATTACAAATCCAGTCTGACCAAGTCGCTTCCAAGTCACTACTGTCCAACCGTGTTGGGCCTTTATCATGCCAGTACGGCAGTACAAGCCCCAAAGACTCACCCGTATGAATTTTCAAAGGAATGCCTTTGATGATTTTAGGAGCTCTCTAGCGAAGCCAACTTCTTGATTGGTAGTCACGGGTCCCAACTCACCCGAGTGGTTTTCGACCAAACGGGTTAGGTTTGGGTCCGTTCCAAATACACCTACTATTGCGCACTCATCACTCGGGTATGTCTTTTTAAATAAGGTTCTTTATCTTTTTGACCGAATTCAAATTAAATTAATACAAATAAGCTTGATATCAGGCATGAACAAGATTTAGAAACTTCAGAATCTGAAGAAATTTAAAAAATTAATGGGAGATAAGGGGCAACGACTAGGCTTACTAAGACGCGAGAAAGACGATAGGAGAGAATAAGTGATTTGGTAATTTAGAGTGAAAAAATACACGTCAACATTTTAATTTGTCACTTTGCGTTAAAAGGCACATCCAAATAATACTGATGATCTCTACCAAATTGGAGAGTAATGACGTAAATACGAGGAAACTGTAGAAGTAATAGTGTAAATAAATGAATTTGGAATTATAATGTAAAATCATTAATTTGTGGGAGTATTTTTATAATTTTTTCCATTAAAATATTACTCCCTCCGTCCTATAATGATCTTCCCGGTTCGCAAAACGAAGAAAAATCCCAAGTTTTTTCAATCTATTTTATTTAAATATTGGTATAGAAATAAAAAATAAAACATACACATTTAAAAACTACATCAAAAGTTCAACAAAACAAGTGGTGACAAGAATATTTTATTTTATCATATAGGCCATGAAAAAACACAAATAAATATAAATTTCCGTGAAATTGGAATAGTGCTATGGGAAGATCATTATAGGGAAGGAGGGAGTACCTAGTAATTCCACGAGTAATGTATAGTTAGAATTTAGAACTTAGAAAGCTAAATCAAAATCGTGGTTCTACGCCCAGCGGCCCAGGCTTCCTTCTTCCTCTATCTCAATACCGGGAGTACAATACAATGCGCTCCTAAGCTTATACTCAGTCTTTCTATGTCTTATCCCAACGCCAATCCCAATCCCATCAAGTGCTCGTCTCCCCGCTCTCCCACCGCCGCCGGAGGAACGCAGCCGGTGTTGCCCTTCTATTATCCTCCGGCGATGAAGAAGGCCAAAACCCAGGCCATCGCCTGCTCCCTTGATACGAACATGAACGGCGGCCAGCATCACGTTCATTTCTCCTCCGAAGATCCATCCATCTCACCCAGCATCGAGGATCCGAACCTCTCCGGCGATGTCCATACGAGCTCCTCCACTTCAGGCGGCGTCACTGCCAATTTGTCTCGCAAGAAGGCGATTCCTCCCCAGCCTGCCAAGAAGCTAGTTATTAAGCTTGTTAAAGGTTCCCTCTCTTGTCCCCTAGACACCCTTTAGTGCTTGATTTCTGTTTAAAGATGCAATTTTTGTTAATCTGGCACTATTAATGAAATTCAATCTCCAGAATTGTTGAGGGGTATGAGGGTCGTAAGTCTTTTAGTTATCTCAGATATGCTTGAAACTCCATTGTGATGTCCTACAAATCTAGTTAAGTTTTGTTTCTTTGTCTTGGGTATTATTTAGTACTGTATCTGAATTCTTTGTGTTCTGGTTCACATAAGTCAACAATATTGCAATCTCAGAAATAACATAAACCAAACAAAACCATTACATCCCACTCAATAGTAGGTTTGTGGGGTTTGATTAGATGCAGGCAGACCTTACGTCTATATGAGTAGAGAGGTTGTTTCTAAAGCAAATGATCACTAGAGATGGCTGTCATGGTTCAGAATTAATATCCCACTAATGTCAATGAAATTTTAGTTTGGGTTGATGTTTTTTTGCATATGCTCCGGCAAACTAAATATTTGTTGGTGCTTGATTGGGATAAGAGCGAGTTATTGCTATGTTCAGTACCACGATGATATGCAGGTATGGTACTTGTTGGCATTTATATTTAGAGGTAGAAAACACAGCCAGTTCATAATAAGTCATTGTGTTTGACTGGTTGTCTTTCCAGTCGCCACTAGCTAAACAGTTTCTTACCAAGCACAACATTGAATTATGAGTTTGGCTCACACGCTTTTCACAGGCTAAGGATTTTCCATGTAAGTTGCATCATATGGGCTGAATGTAAATCACATCTTTGTCAGTGTTAAGCACTTGGTTATCAGAAATATGTGCACTACACTACTTATTGTACACTTCCATTGGGCCTCCTGTATACAAGGAGAGGAAGCTGATTCTAGATGTTCAAGAAACCAAACACTTCATTTCAGGGACTTTGTATACATAGAGTAGAAAAGTAAAAGGAAACCAAACCTGCCTATGCTAATCCTTCAACAGATTTATACAAACTTGGTTACCTTTTCAATTTTTTTGATAAAAAACTTTGCATATCAAAACTTCCTCTATAAATTATGCATACATTTCATTAGCACCCCACTTGTAACAAAGTTTGGTTGTTTCAGGACTTCACAAAGTGAAGATATTTGTAAGTTGATAACTTTATCTAATAAATGACGTAATAGATGTGTACAAATTTATTTCGTATAAATTGACAGCCAATCTCTATATGCTTAATTCTTTCATGAAAAATAGGATTGGATGCAATGTGCAAAGCTCCTTGATTATCACAAATCAGTTTCTTATAGTTTACTCTTCAATGACATTATTCCTAGAGTAAATATTTTAACCAAATAAGCTTGCATCATTGCATGCAATGTGGGACATAGCCTATATTCTGCTCCATCATTTGATCTCACAACTATGCCCAGTTTCTTACTTTTTCAGGAAATAAGATTTTTTCTAATGAAAACACAATATTTAGAATTTGATCTCCTGTCATTTCGAGACCTGTCCTACGTGCATGTGTAAGAAACAATGTCAGTATTATCTTTTCTCCTCTGTTCTCATTTAATAATCATTTTAGAATGAAAATCACTGATCTTGAGACGCTGCTTGTGGAGATATATAAGACTAAAGTGATCAATCCAGATTAAGAAAGTATGTCCCCATTTAATGTTTGTGGTTTGATTTGGCACATAATTTAAGATGATTGAAATTATGTGGTTGAAATTTTTTAAAGAAGTAATGTAAGAATATGAACCACACCTTTTCCTAATCGGAAATAAGAAGATAATTTTGGGATGGACCAACAAGGGAAGTAAGATATTAAGATTAGGAAATGGAGACAGAGGGAGTATAACATTAATGGTAATCGTATAACTTAAATCAAATTACATTAGACAACTATACATGAATAAGATAAGATATTCTTGCTCACATCATTTCTATAATCTTATACTCCCTCCGCCCCTAAATAAACTTCGTACTTACTATTATGACCTCTTGATATTTTTTTTGTGTGTTTTCGTTGATCATTTGATAAAATAAAATATTCTTGTCACATCTAGTTTTGTAGAATTTTTTATGTAGTTTTGAAATATGTAATTTGTGCATTATTCCAATTTGTAAATTAAATCATTTTAAACGAGGTGGGATTTTGCATGTTGTACAAAGTAGGAAGTTTATTTGGGGCTGGAGGGGGTATTATTTGGAAGAAATTCATAAACAACGACAAAAGTTCCCTAAAAAGAATTTTTATTTTGGGCACCCTAAAAATTTGACACAGCAAATACTAGTCTCTAGTCCTTGAGTGCTGTGGAGTCCCTAAAAATTTGACACAGCAAATACTAGTCTCTACAGCAAATAATTAGTCTTTACAAATTACAACTGACTTAAAGTCACATTAATTTTTCTATCTAAACAATATGTAAATACTAAAATACACTCAATATAATCATTTTTCACTGTTTATTTACAACAATTTTGGTGTAAGTGACATTAAATTTATAGTGTCAAATTTGTCTAGAATTACTTAGCAATATAAGTTCATACAAACAAACAGTAGCAAAAGACCATTTACAAATAAATAACTACACTATGGACTTCTCAAGTTATCATCGCCTTGAAAAATGTGATATGATTTGAATATTTAAGATCTAGTCTGGTCATAAATTTTCCATTATCTCTTTTCTCGTTAAATGTGATTGATCTGAATCTTTTCCTGATTTGGTTTGAATTGTTCTGCACTGATCTGAAGTCCAGATATTTATGTTTTTGTCTGATTTTCTGATTTGAATTATAACATCTGGTCTAGTGTGGTTTGGATCTTTTTGGTTTATTTTGGTAGAGTTGGAATCTTTCTTGAGTGAATGTTTCTGATTAAATTAAGAATACATAATAAGCAAAAAAATAGTGAAGAGAACATTATCTAAATTACACGAATAATATAACCCGAAGATACCATTCTTGGATTCAATTTATTAGCTAGTCTAAGTGTCTAAACCAAAGTATTGTAAAGTCGTCTTTCTGTATTTAACCTTTCAAAGTGAGATTCTTGGCACCTGTCTTTCTACTTTTTCTCTTTTTGCGCACTGATGTATCCTTCATATCCCATGTCAGTGTCACCATTGGTTTTTTCATTGTCTATGTTTATGTAACATGTCTATTTATGTAATTTGATGTGTCTCAGTGCTCTATTGTTACTGAGTATATTGTTTTGTATGTTTACCTCTTTATTTTATCATTTCCAATTCTGTAGCAAAACCAACATTGCCAAGAAATTTTGAAGAAAACAGATGGGCTACTCTTAAGTCAGCTATTAGTGCGGTTTTCTTGAAGCAGCCTGATCCATGTGACTTGGAGAAGCTCTACCAGGTACATCTTCATAGGCCTTGGTTTCTTCTACATTTCCTTGCGTGTCAAATGACTAGGTTTCCTGGCACAGGTCGTTAATGATCTTTGTCTGCACAAGATGGGGGGAAGTCTCTATCAGCGGATTGAAAAAGAGTGTGAAGCACATATAGCTGCAGCACAACAATCTTTGGTCGGGCAAAGTGAAGATCTTGTGGTGTTTTTATCACTTGTTGAGAAGTGTTGGCAGGACTTTTGTGACCAGATGTTGATGATTCGCGGGATAGCTTTATATCTAGACAGAACATATGTTAAACAAACCTCTAATGTACGTTCCCTGTGGGATATGGGCCTACATCTTTTTCGCAAACATTTTGCTCTTGCTTCTGAAGTGGAACACAAAACAGTGTTTGGCCTTCTACAGATGATTGAGAGTGAGAGGTACTTTCCTTTTTTTATCTTAACTTGTTCTATGTATCAGAGAGTCAGAGACAAATAGAATTAATAGACACGACTGATTTGACTGTCAATATTTAAATTATGAGAAGCAATACTATTTTCTCCGTCTAGGTTATTTATTTTATAAATTTGCTTCTTCCACATTGTCAAAACAAAATTTCTCATGTTTAGATCGCAAAGTTTTTATAATATAAATCAAGAACTAGAAGCTACCTTTATAAGATGGAGAAAATGGTAAGCAATAGCTTGCAGGTAGGGAATAAGAATGATTCATGAATCATTGCAACTTTGTAATTCAACCATTTTTCAATAATTTCTTCTAACTTTTCCATATTTTGGCCTTGGTTGTTTTTCAGACTAGGTGAGGCAGTTGATAGAACTCTTCTTAATCATATTTTGAAGATGTTCACCGCATTAGGAATTTACTCAGAGAGCTTTGAAAAGCCATTTCTTGAGTCTACATCTGAATTTTATGCTACCGAAGGTGTCAAGTACATGCAGCTGGCAGATGTGCCAGATTACTTGAAACATGTAGAAGTATGATTTTCTTTCCATTGCTCAATTTGCTCTCTGGCATCCTTTGGAGCTATGATAATTTATTCTCCGTAGTTTAATTCTGAAGGCTCTACCCCCTTTGGGTTGTTATTGTTGTTGTAATACTTTTGTGGTCTTTTACCTTTCAGGCAAGGTTGCTTGAGGAACAGGAAAGATGTTTGCTCTACCTCGATGCAAACACAAGAAAGCCACTGATAGCAACTACAGAAAAACAATTACTAGAGCGCCACATCTCTGCCATTCTTGAAAAGGTCTCTGTCCCCCATATTAAATTTCAATTCTGACCATGCCTTGTAAGTACTATGGGAGTGTTTTGGAAAATAAATAAATTTATGCTTATTGCTTAATTCAAGCATGTTTTACAATATTAGTGTTTGGTAAAGAAAAAATTGGCGTAAACAAGCACTTTCTTTGAGCCACTTAACCCTACAAGTTAAAAGCAGCTTTTACCATTTTGTATCACAAACATTTTTGCACCTTGCTGCTCATGGCTAATCATGTATTTTAGTAATTAGTTTATAATATTTCGTTTGCAATTTGAATAAGCAAAAAACTATTTTTAAATTTACCATAGTTATCATGGTGCCAAGGCTAGGCACCAGTGTACTGAGAGGACGCCTTGTCGATTTAGCAGCCACACGAGGACTCGTAGGAGAAAAGTCATAAATTAGAACTGTATTCCATGTATTTAAAAAAAGATTTCCATTTGACTTTTTATGTTCAAAGTTTGTAAACAAACATTGATCAAATAATTGGTAATTCAATTATATATACTCCCTCCGTCCACAAATAAACTTCCCGTTGCGTGTTACGATGTTTGACTGAAGTTATTTTCAAATCATTTTATATGAAAAATAGTGTAAAATTTAAAAATAAAAATTACATATTAAAAACTATATCAAAAGATGTACAAAACTAGAGGTGACATGACTATATTATTTTATCAAATGGGTGACGAAAATAGGCCAACAAAGTGAATAAAGTTTGACCCTGTGAATAGTGAACGAGAAGTTTATTTGTGGACGGAAGGAGTATATATATATGTGTGTATGTATGATCACCCTGGTTCATGTGTCATTGTCCTGTAATGTCATAGTATGACCCGAGGGTCCTACGGTGTTTCGTTTGTAAAATTTACGATTCATACCTCTCTTAACCCCCTCCGGCAAATCCCCCCACTCCGCCTCGACCCGAACCCACCTCTCACCCCTTCAGTTGCACCCTCCAAGTTTATTTGACTTCGGAGTCAAAATTTTGACTCCAAAGTCAAATAAACCTGGAGGGTGCAATTGAAGGGGGCGGGCAATGGGTTTGGGCCGGGTCGGGGTGGGAGGGTTTGCCGGGGGGTTAGGAGAGGTAGGAATCCTCAATTTTACGAACGGGGCACTGTATGACCTCCGGGTCATCCCATGGCATTGTTAGGCAATGTCACATGAATCGTCCCCTACATACATACACATATTTGTGTGTGTAGTTCATTTTACACACGAACACAGACATCATGTATCTAATTCTTTGCGGCGTGAAGTTGTCAAACACCAGGTGAGTCATATTTGTTTTTTTAAAAATAGTTTCTCGTATGACCTAATTGTTCGACGGGCGTACTAGTCGAGGTCCAAGTCATCACCTCCGTGACACCAGCCTTCTTCCGGCGAATTCTGGCAAGTCGATGAGCATTGGCGAGAGGATTGAATCGACAGGGTGCCATGTCATTGCCTATGTGACACCTTGATAACTATGAAATTTACAAACACCACTACTACTTTTTCTTAAAAAATCTGTTATTTATACCATAAAAACAAGGGCTAACACTTAAATATTCAAAAACACTCCCTGAACCCTATATTTAGGTTTCTTAATCACAACTTCATGACTATTTGTTCAGGGTTTCACAATGTTAATAGACGGAAATCGCATTAATGATATCCAAAGGATGTATATGCTTTTCTCAAGGGTGGATGCTCTTGAATCCTTAAGGCATGCTCTTAGCTTGTATATCCGAAGAACTGGGCAGGGGATTGTTATGGATGAAGAAAAAGACAAAGATATGGTATACAACTTGTTAGAGTTCAAAGCATCTCTTGATAAAATATTGGAAGAAAGCTTCATTAAAAATGAAGCTTTTAGCAACACCATTAAGGACGCATTTGAGCATCTCATAAATCTCCGCCAGGTACATCCCAGCTCATATGGTCACTAATCTCTTCATTTCCATGTAGACTTCATGACCAAGTAACCAACTTTTGGAAATTAATCGTGTAATTTTCATAAATTGTTTACATCTGAACCATTGTTTCGGGCTCATGATTTTTTCTTTCTGATGCACTAGAATCGCCCCGCTGAGCTGATTGCCAAGTTTTTGGATGAAAAGCTTCGTGCTGGTAATAAGGGTACATCAGAAGAGGAATTGGAGGGTACACTTGACAAAGTCTTAGTCCTGTTCAGGTTTATACAAGTATGAGAATTTTCTCCTAAGAATATTAAATTTCTAGTGTGACATTAATAATTAATCATCCTGGTTGTATTTTAACAATTATTGGATTGTAGAGGACTAGAGTCATCAACTTTGTGCTGATAAATACTATTTCTCTTGTAGGGTAAGGATGTATTTGAAGCATTCTATAAGAAAGATCTTGCCAAAAGACTATTATTGGGAAAGAGTGCGTCTATTGATGCCGAAAAATCCATGATTTCTAAGGTATGGGTTTAAGGCACAAAGTTTCCTTATTCATTGCTTTGCATTTTCTACCATGCCAACATTTTGCTATTGATTTTACAGTTAAAGACAGAGTGTGGTAGCCAATTTACCAATAAACTTGAAGGGATGTTCAAGGTATGTTTAGGCATGTTAGAAGCTGTCGATGGTAGTTTTAGAGCATTTGTTAGGCTAGTTAATATTTGTTCCAAATGGTTATTAGAAGAATATGATTGTTCTGCTTGTACATTTACATCAATCTGCATATGGCTATTTACAAACTAAGCTAATGAAGTGAAAGATCACTACTCTACTCTAAATAGGTGAAAGGCCAAGAAATATACACCTATTTCTTATACAACAACAACATCAACCCAGTTGGATCACCAAATTTATAATGATAAAAATGAACCCAGTATAATCCCAACTTCGTTGGTTTTCTTTTATGTGTGGTGTGGGGGGTGGGGTTCAAGATGTATGCAACCTTACCCATGTAAAAATCCGCTGCACCCCTTCATGCATTGCTGCCCAAAGCTATAACATTGTCGAAAATGACTCTTTTTAGCTCCATTAGCAAAGGATCCAACAAAATTATCATATGTATAATATTTTTATTTTTTTTCCAAATATGCTCTTGGTCGATGGAGCCAAAGATTTACTATTTTTTGGCTTTGGAGTATGATGGGATAAAGCAAAATTGCTCTTTAAACTATATTTGCTTCTTTTGATAGTGAAGTAGCAGTTGTTAGTCAATGCAACTTTCGATGCTCATCATGGGTCATCTGGAAACAGACACTTTATGTCTTAAGCATAGTGGTTAGGCTGCGTCCATCTGACCCCCCCATCCCGCAATGTGCGGGAGCCTTTGAGGCACTGGGGTAATGTTGTTGTTGTTGATATTATAATATTTATATTTATTCTCAAATGGTACAAAAGTACAAACAACATTTTATTTTTCTTTGCCAGGATTCCTTGGTCTGGATATATCAAATTTTATTTGTAGCTTACTTCTTGCATAAATGGGCAAGCTTATCACTTTGACTGTCAACTTTCCATGTTGCAATGTGTTTATTTCTAGATTGATTTACTGCTGAATGGTGCCTTTATGTTCAGATAACGTCTATAGTTGATATCTTATGGTGGATGTTTTATTCCGAACTATTTAGATTGTACTATTTGTTTGACGCTTTGAAATTATTGGCCAGGATATAGAACTATCAAAAGAGATAAATGAATCCTTTAAGCAATCATCCCAAGCAAGGACTAAACTCCCAATTGGGATTGAGATGAGTGTGCATGTGTTGACCACTGGGTAAGTTTCTTATGCAGCACTGATTTCATAAGAAACTGTAACTTTGGCAGTGCCCCCTTTTTCCACTCTTCCTTTTTAATTTAGATGACTTCCTCTTTTTGACCTTTCCCTCTTTCTCATATCATATTTTGTGGAGTTAATGATATATTGTAATGTACTGCAGTTACTGGCCAACATATCCTCCCATGGATGTTCGGCTTCCCCATGAACTAATTGTGTATCAGGTATAGCACAAACTCATGGTTTGTTCCTTGTGGACGTCATACTTATTCAGGTTAATAATCATATCAATAATTTTCCATATGCTGCAGGATATTTTCAAGGAGTTTTACCTCAGCAAATACAGTGGGAGGCGCTTAATGTGGCAGAATTCATTGGGCCAGTGTGTCCTTAAAGCAGAATTTCCCAAAGGTAAAAAGGAGCTTGCTGTTTCTCTATTCCAGGTCGGTTTTGCATGAACTCTTGTGCTATGTGTGACATTCTTATTATCCTTTTGTTACTCTTTAATGGGGTTTCTACATTCTTTTCCCTAGACTGTTGTTTTGATGATTTTCAATGATGCGGAAAATCTAAGCTTTCAAGACATAAAAGAAGCTACTGGTATCGAAGATAAAGAGCTGAGGAGGACTTTGCAATCCCTTGCATGCGGGAAGGTGCGGGTTCTCCAAAAGGTATGTAGTTATTGATTGACATGGATTTCTAATTTACTCATATTTGTTTTGTTAACAATTGCACACTGGGTACACCTTTTTTATCATTTTGTTGGATGCTTCTTCAATTAAAGGTAAATGTAATAATAATCCTACAGACACCGAAGGGTAGAGATGTGGAGGATGATGATACCTTTATGTTCAATGATCAATTCACTGCTCCACTTTATCGGATAAAGGTAAATGCGTATGCTGCTGATGAAAATGGGTGATTCTTTTATCATGTTTTCATTCCTAACACCCACCGGACTTCTTACTTGACAAAAGAGTATAATTGTCCATTGCTCATGTGGTGTTGGTAAGTGCTGACAACTGACAAATTCAATGTATACAGGTAAATGCTATCCAGCTGAAAGAAACAGTTGAAGAGAACACAAATACTACTGAGAGAGTATTCCAGGACAGACAATACCAGGTATACACCAGACTTATACAAAACTTTCATCTAATGCCACTTGTAATAGTACTTGAAGTGTTTTTTTGGAAGAAGGGGGTGGGGGTGGGCCATTAATAACTTATATAAACTCAACGTCAGAACTCAGAAAGTACCTCTTGTCATTTACTACATATGCAGACGTCATAGGTGCTTGAAATTTTGACTTAGTATGTTAGCTCTCCTAAATCTGCACAGCTTTGTTGCACAGAGAGTAGGAGCTAAAGTCAACAGAGCATTTGATAAATTGCTCGCAAACATTCTCCGTAGTGTTCTGTTGTTTTTGGTTAAATGGACAAAGCTTAGATCTCGTTCCATAGATGAAAAGAGTCCTAACACGTGTTTGCTCATTCACTATGTGTGTGAGCATGCTCATTGATTCTTCGTCTAGTAATCGTCCATGAAGATGTTGGTTTATTTTTATGTTTATATTAAAATTACATAATACTCCATCCATCGTGCAAATAACTAATATTTTCTTTTTTGAAATTACTTTTCCAACACTAAATTTTATACTCCCTTTGTCCTGCTGGTTTTTTTTCATCTACTTTGTCTCAAAATATTTTCCAGTTTTGTTTTAAGGAAAGATATTTGTATTTCATATTTTTCTCTCTTCTAAATAAACCTCAACAGCACTTTTTCAATTTCTCAAATTGCGTGTTAATGCTAGTTGGAATTTCCCAATGATGCGGAGGAAGCACAAATTAGACTGCAAGTAGTTTGAGTCAAATCTCATTGCATGTGTCACTCACAATTCAATTCGATCTCTCTGCAGGTGGATGCTGCCATTGTTAGGATAATGAAGACCAGAAAAGTGCTTAGTCACACCCTCTTGATAACAGAGCTCTTCCAACAGGTGATATGATTTACTCCCTGTCTATAGATATTTTTTTCTTCTTGTAAATACCTATCTCCTTAATTATTACTTCGTATTCAAATCAATGCCAAGAAACTTAACAATGAAAGATGGGTGGGATTAGGTCCCATTTCATTAGAACTCACTGCCCTAGCTAGCAATGAATCTGAATTCATTAACGATCATATAAGGTTTGGGTACCTTTCATTAACGATCATTAATTAATAACAAACTTGTTGCTCCGAGGAAATTTGGTACTTTTCCTCAAAAGGGTACCTTTGTTTCCTCTTGGGTTGCTAAAAAAGTAAAAAGGAATATGGAGCATCGTTGGAGAAGTAAAGATGTGAGATTATCGGTGCTCTAGGTGTAATCTTCTCCCCATGCAAGGAGCCCCTTGTCTGACAATCAGCAAGTAACAAAGATAGTCCTTCGGCTACAATGAGGAATAAATAGGTGACAGTCGGTTTCCCTGTCGAAGCTCATGTTCCGCAGGGAGCCAGGGATATATCCAAAGTCCAAACCTCTTTCCAGCATGCATACATTAACATTGGTGTCACAAAGTAACCAATAGACATATTCTTATTATTATTTTTATTTTAAAATCCAAATCTCTGTGAAACCCAAACCCTTCATCATGACAAACAAGAAATTCCATCCCATTCTATCATAAGCTTTGCTCATGTCCGTTTTAAGCGCTGTCCAGCCCATTTGACCTTGTGTTTTCGGTTTTACGGTGAAATAATGGACAACTTCAAATGGCACCATAACATTCTTAGTTATAAATCATTCAGGGATAAACACGCTTTGATTCTTTGAGATGATTGTGTTCATGGCAGGCCACATTCTATTTGCAAGTACTTTGCCTGCAATTCGGTCAATGGTGTGACCGACTAAGAGATGCCAAAGATCTGTACTGTTTCCGGGGGTTTCTTCTTGGGCATCCAAATGATATTGGTTCGATTGTGGCCTGACAGGGTTGCTTTTTTATTGACAAAACCCAGCACTACATTGAATATATCCTCATCTATGTTGTACTGGTTCTTTAAGTAAGAGATGCTTCCCATTCCCAAAAAAATGTACCTGTTTGGATACTTGGGGACATCCCAACAGCGAAATTCATTGTAAAATTTAGAAGACGTAGCGTTTCCCCGTGCTCAACCCTGTCCGTGTCCCCGTCCCCATATTAGTATCTCCCAGGCTCCGTGCAGCTTAGATCCTCATCAACAACCAGCCAAAAGCTTCTATAAAATCCTGGGTTTAAACCATCCGGTCCAGATGATTTTTTTGGGTGCATATCAAGCACTGCCTGTTGTACCTCTTCCTTTGTAAAATCTGAGATCATGGCCACATTCTGTTGGTCATCTACCCAACGATGAACCATGTAGTATGTAGTTATTACTTATTAGTTCCAGCAATCCGCTCTATCATCCCACCCACTGTCCACTTTCATTCTTCAACTGATGCACCAGATTCTTTTTTCTTCGTGATGATGCTTCAGGATGATCATATAAGTTTCCTTGGCACTTATATAAAGCTGTATGTGTTGCGGTTTCTACTATGTTTATCTTGTTTCATAATTTTCATCTGTTCTATGCATTGCTTTAGTTTTGTTGTAAAAGTCCCTTTCTTATCAATCGGGCATGTCCCTTGCCTCTCTCCCAAGTCCCACCTCTCAATTAAAGCCATTTGAACATCCCCTTCTCCAAGCCAGGAATTTTCAAAGTGGAAATCTACTGGAACATACCGTGCCACATGTATTCCCAAATTGAGAAAGAGCGATTTGTGATCACTTGTAGCATTTTCAATATGAAAGACCAAATAAATGCTTCCATGTTTTTGTGGAAAGCATTCTACCCAGTGTCTCCCAAACCCAATTCACTGTTCCCCTTCTCCTTCCCCTTTTCCAAGCAAACTTATTCCCATCAAGCCCTAAATCTCAAAGAGAACGATACTCAATTACCTCTCCGAAACCAGTTATGCGCCAAGTTGGTTGCTTGATTCTTCCCAATTTATATCCATATGACAAAATGTCATTAGAATACCCTGCTATTCACCAAGGAAGAGATGAGACAGATTTTAGTGATTTCATTAGCTCCCAAGATTGCTTTTTCCTGCAGAGTTAGTTGGCTAGTGGCTACCCATAAAAACCAGTTAAACGGTATCGTTGCTCTCCTGTGAGTCGAACTTCAACATCAACATAATTTTCTGCATAGCCTACTGAACACATACTCTCTTCCTTCATCCTTTCACATCAAAGCAACACCCCCACTCAAGCCATCAGAATCCACTCCAAACACCTTTGTAGCGTAGCTTTTCACCAAGCTTCTCAATTCATGCTTTCACACAATTGGTGTCCTGCAAGGAAACTATACTGGGCTCCCAAGCCCACGGCAATCCCAAATTAACAAACTCATTGGGCTGGGCGGGTCTGGGATACAGAACCCGTCATACATCCGTTTTTTTACCATTTGTCATTTCAGGAGTATCTTTTTCCCTCTTTTCTGTTGGAGTGGCACGCCTTCTATTGTCAGTTCAGTGGTTAGCCTTTATTGGCTTATGGTACATTATTATGTCGTCTAACTGAAATGCTGTATTAACACTGCCCTCACAAACACTCTAGTACATAAATGTGCTTATTTACATTTCCATAGTTAGCTTCTTCTCTTTTTATGCGTACTCTGTTAGTGCTATTGGGATTTGTTTGCCCATACTCTTGTATTTGAGCTGAGGTATCTTGGAAACAACCTCTCTAATTCCAAGTAGAGGTAATGTCTGCAAACACTCACCCTCCTTTGATCCTACATTGTGTGGGATTCTACTGGTTTTCTTGTAGTTGTAGCATTACATCTTTGAATTCTTCAGAAGGAACGAATTGGTCTCTGTACAGAGGAACTGAACATGTTTTTTTATATTTGGTGGCAGCTAAAATTTCCAATAAAACCAACAGACTTGAAGAAAAGGATCGAGAGCCTTATAGATCGAGAGTATCTGGAGCGCGACAAGAACAATCCTCAGGTATACAATTACCTTGCCTGATTCCACCATTTCTTCTACCGTCTCCTCAATGTGGTGCTTTGTTTCCCTGCCCCCGGGATGATCATCGTATCTTCTGTACAGTTGGTAGTGATGGATCCTTTTGTTCCCCCCCTCCTACACTGTAAATCTTAATCCCTGACTTAGCTCCTCACACACCAGTCCCATGCATATGAACAAAGGGAACCATTTTTTATTAAAAAATTATATTTATTTTTTACTTTTGTTAACATGTTTGGACGATTGGACTTGACTGCCAGAAGACATTTATCACAAGTCTTTTACTCCTGTCTGTATTCTTGAATGCCAAATGTTTTACTGTGCTGTCAAATGTCAATGTGAGGCTTGAATATGTAATTTATGGTCGAACTCAAAATTACCCGCAAAAATAGATCAAAGTGAATGAATTCAAACCCCTAGAATTTTATCAAATGACACACTTTAATACTGTGATGGTATAAAATCATATCGTCATATTATTTTTATCCGTTGTTTGAAGATATACTCTTCACATGCTGAGTTAGATTGCTTGTGGTTTACGATGTTTGACTTAAGCTACTTTTAACATAAAATATATGGAATTTGGTGTGGAATTAAATAATACGGAGTAAGATTTTTATTCTTAGAGAAGAGGTAACATGACTATTATATTATTTTATCGGATGAGTAATAAAAATAAGCAAAAAAATACATATAATTTTATTTTTAATAAAATTATGTTTATACTAATACACATTATATTTTTTTATTTAATTGAAGTAAAAAGTTTGTCTAGTTTGGCGCGATTAAATCAAAATGCACAAGTATACTGAGGTAGAGGTAATAAATTTAATTAGATGATGGGATAGAAGTATTAGAATTTTTATTTTCATTATCTAAATGACTGTATGTTCTTTTTTAACACTAATAATACAGAGAGTTACGGTGCCTATTGAGATTTGAACATGCGATTTTCTATTTTCACGAGTTGTAGTGATATTGTTGGACCATAGGGTATGTGGTAGCTATGTGCTAAATATCGCAGACATTCTTTATGTATAAGTACGGAGTATAATTATATAAATATGACTATATATTTTACAAATATGTATTTTTTAAAAATACAATTATGTATTTTATATTGATTGAAGCAATTATAGGTCTATAGTACTATATGATGTGACAATCATATTATTTTCCTATGATTTGGAAAATGGACACCAATGTCTAGCCTCCTCTTTGTTGAAAAATGGTGGGAAAATAATCGGAGGAGATGTATGTGTGTAGCATTGTTTATAGATATAATGAGATTAAAACCAAGACCTATATTCTATAGACTTCGAAGGACCATGTGAGGCCCATAAGCAAGCAATGAGTGAAGGCAAGGGTCCATGTTCGGCCTCGTCCCACTCAAGTTCAGCCTCATCTCACTCAAGCTTGACCTTATCACTTACGGGCTTTGCAACTAGGCTCATTGGCATCAAGAGATTTTAAGGGAGAAGGTCCAAACACGGCTATGAGCACCCTAGGGATTGAGCTCGGCCATAAGCACCCCAAAGGCGAGGTTTGACATGATCAGCCATCAGCACACAAGGAGGAAGTTTGGTATGGTCTGCCATGTGACGAGCTTAGCTAGCACCAATCAACTCTTATGTTCAGATTACTTCAAGAGTCATCACAAGCCCTATCCCGTGGTCAACTCCTTGAGAACAATGGACCGACCCGTGCTATGGGAACAAACACTGAGTCTAATAAGAAATGGACGTATCACAACATAAGACAAATAATGTAATTAATGAATCCATGTGATGTAAGCATGGTTATTAATAGGACTCTGACCCATAACATATACTTCGTATAATGTTGTATTGTATAAATAGACTTCCACATCCAACATGGACGAGAGGAGATCAAATTCTAAGTGTTTGAAAACAATATATTTAACTTTATAATCCATCACTTTTTGAAACCACAAAAGTTCTATAAATAAATCATGAAAACATAGAAAATATTAATGTCTATTTCTTAAATCACACAATGTGCTAGAGCCATAAGACATTTTTAGAAATAGTCAAATTAGGTTTCGCATATTTCAAACCCAAATTAAGAGTCCCCCCTTTATGGTCATGATAGAACGTACTCCGTAATTTCCCCATCAATCATCATCAATGCAATATAAACGTCAATCCTTTTCCAAATCCATTAATTAGACTTAAATTCATCAAGATGAGATTGAATCACAAGTACATACAGTACTCCAGTCAATTTTACATTTGGGTTGTGATCAAGATATTCATTTGTTCTTAAAATTTTCTTTTATGCATTGTAATATTTACATCGATATATCATTTGTAATGATTTTTTACAAACACATTTTAATATATATTGTTGGTCAAACATTCATACTTTGAAAATAGAAATATAAAACTCTTTTTTTGATATAGTTTCTACTATGTATATTTTATTCTAACTTTAGTTTTTTTCTCTAATACTCCCTCAGTCCCATTATGATTTTTTTATTTTGACACTTTGTGAATATTAAGAAAAGCTAAAAAAAGGTCAAAGTTTACCAAAATACTCTTAATGAAAATGAGTATAGTGTATTAAGGTCATGTGCTCTTCAACTTAAGTGCTATTTAGTTCTATTTAGTGCATATATTTCCTTATTCTTTTACTTAGTATTTATTATTATTAGATTCTAATCAAATCAGAAATAGCTTTAAATATAACTACAGTCAGATCATATCAGACCAGATTACATCAGATCAGAACTTATTCCAATCAGATCAGGTGAAGAGAACATGGACTAAATGATGTGTTTGTGGTGTACTGTAATAAATAAAGTAAGTGTGAGTAGTTGTTATATTTTAAATGTTAACAAAGGTAATAGACCTACATATAATGCAAATAAGCAAATCCTAACTAGCTTAATAAGCATTTATTTTGATTAAAAACTATAAAAAAAAAATATGTGAGAAGGTGCACAAAATGGTATGCATCCAATTTGCATTAAAGAAGTACTCATAACAAGGGTTAATGATAAGATTTATGTGGGACAGAGAAAAAACTCAGTAGGGAAAGTATTTTTAAGATTAATGAAAAGTGAAAGTATGATTTTTTTGCGATGGAGGTAGTAATATTTTTTTTATACTTCGTAATTTTATACCCTTAGTACTTCGTGAAAATTACATACTTCGTATGTAATTATATCACCCTGATTCAAGTGACTTTAAATTTCAATGTCATAGGATGACACAGAGTATAAACGGTGCCCCATTCAAAAAATCGATGGTTCCTACCCACCAAACACCCCCGATAAATACCCCAATCCCGACCCGACCCAAACCGACCACCCCACCCCCTCCAAATGCACCCTACAAAATGTAGTTGATTTTGGAGTCAAATTTTGATTGCAAAGTCAACTACATTTTGTGGGGTGCAATTGGAGGGGGTGGGGTGGTCGGTTTGGGTCAGGCCATGGTGGGGGGATTACCCAGCCGAGTGTATGAGGGAGTAGGAATTATCAATTTTTTGAATGGAGCACTATAGTTCCTTTTGAATCTCTCCAATTTAATCTTCAAGGTTAATCTTTTGTAAATTTTCACTATAAATTATGAAAAAAGAATAATGAATTACTCTTTCCGTCCTAAAATGTTTTTACCATTTTTATTTACGAGGATTGACCGATTATATTTTAAATTCAATTTATTTGATTGTAGATGTAAAATTAAAAAATAAAATTTATATATTTAAAAATTAGATCAAAAGTTCTACAAAATAAGAGGTGACAAGACTATATTATTTTATCAAATAATTAACGGAAATATGTAAAGAAGATGATTAAAATTTGACCGTGTGAATAGTACTCCCTCCGTCCTATATCTTTCTTCCCGTTGCGCAAAACGAAGAAAAATCCCAAGTTTTTTCAATTTATTTTATTTAAATATTGATATAGAAATAAAAAATAAAACATACATATTTAAAAACTACATCAAAAGTTCAACAAAACAAGTGGTGACAAGAATATTTTATTTTATCATATAGGCCATGAAAAAACACAAATAAATACAAATTCCCGTGAAGTTGGAATAGTACTCTAGGAAGAAAGTTTTAGGACGGAGGGAGTAACTGGGAAGATCATTTTAGAACAGAGGGAGTATCATATAATTTTAATATGAATAAATCCATTTAATTTGTTAAATACATAGTTTTGAAATATTTTATTTTTATAATATATATCTATCCATAAATAAAGATATTAATTATCAAAATGTTGTATTGAAAACTATAAAATATCAAATAAACAGATTCAACAAATTTTATTTTTCAACTAACAAACAAAGAAACAAGTAGAAGTTAAAAGTTATTAAAATATGTGCTCTGTATTCTTATTCTTAAAATAAGAGCTTGCATAATAAAAACATGAAGCTTCTAATACATTTTCTATGATTTACTCTCATTTTAGATTATTTTTTTTACAATTTCTTTTCATTAGTTTATTCTTTTTCCATTCTTTTGCCAAATAGGGACTAGGGGGTTCGGAGTACACCCTATGACAAATGACATTCCACATTTGCCCATTGTCTCCGGATGAGCAATAGCCATGTTGGCCTTATTACTCTCTTTACTCTTATCCGCTCCCGTCTTCGCCGCCGATCACTTCCTTCTGAACTGCGGCGCCTCCATAAACCAACGGTTCGGAGATCGTCTCTGGGAAACGGACACTGCCCACAAACAATTCCTCCCCCCAAACGCCGCCGACATATCCTTAACTTCCACCGCCGCCGCAGAGCAGGGCCCTTCCGTTCCGCAGGTACCCTACACCACCGGCGTTCGATTCTTCACTTCCCAGTTCACCTATTCCTTCCCCGTCTCCGCGGGCCCCAAATTCCTCCGCCTCCACTTTTACCCGGCCCAGTACATCGACGGCGGCGGCCGGTTCGTCAAAACAGAGTCTTTCTTCTCCGTCACGGCCGGTTCCTACACCCTCTTGAGTAACTTCAGCGCCTATCTCACAGTCTCCGGCGTTGACCCGCCGGTCGTGTTCAGAGAATTTCTGGTCAACGTCGACGAAACGCTGAAAAAGCTCGACATTACATTCACTCCTTCTCCGAAATCTTATGCATTTGTCAATGGGATCGAAATCGTGTCGATTCCGGCCGGATTTTACATTCGGGGAGAAGATGATACCGGGGAACACCCGATTACATGGGTCGGGTCATCCGGAACTCCGTACTACATCTCCGACAACACTGCCCTGGAGACTCTGTACAGGTTCAATGTCGGGGGCAAAACGGTCTCTCCCTACGAGGACTCCGGGATGTTCAGGACGTGGTATAGCGACGACGATTACGTGGTCGGTTATGGATACCAGACACCGTCGTTGGATGTCAACGTCAGCTACACCCCGTCGGCGCCGGCGTACTCTGCTCCGGCGAGTGTTTATACCACGTCAAGAACGATCTCGAATCACAGTAACGCTGTCAATTGGACCTTTCCAGTTGATTCCGGGTTTATTTACCTGTTCCGGCTCTACTTGTGTGAGTTTATGCAGGAAATAACTATGGCGAATCAGCGGGTTTTCACGGTGGACATTGAGAACACCACCGCGGAGGCGCATATGGATGTTTTTATGATGGCTGGGGGCTCGAGAATCCCGATTTTTAAGGACTACGCCGTTCAGGTGCCGGAGACGGACGGTCTCCGACGGGGAAAACGGGACGTTTGGTTCGCGATAAGGCCCAACATGGAATCCCAATCCGTGTGGGCGAATGCAATTTTAAATGGGTTGGAGATTTTCAAGCTGAATGACACGACGGGAAGCTTTGCAGTGCCCAATCCCGAGCCTCCCGTCGTGGCCTCGGTAAACCAATCGCCGCCGCCGCCTCAGGCTCGATCTAACAAGAAAGTCAAGAGAAAAGCCTGGAGCGTAAGCGGTGGTGTAGCGACGATAATGTTGCTAGTGTTATTGGGATTCTTGATTTTCCAGCACCGGAGGAGGAGAGTGAGAGACTCGCCATCCGACATGGCGAGCCATGCCACCAAGACGTCATGGGCGCCATTGTCGCCCATGTCAGCATCCACACAAACCTCTGGTTTCTCCGCCACCTCCTCCTTACCGAGCGACCTCTGTCGCCACTTCTCCCTAGAGGATCTCAAGTTTGCCACAGACAACTTCGACGAGAGCCTCGTCATTGGGAGAGGAGGGTTCGGAAAGGTGTACCGGGGACTCATAGACAACGGGGCAACCCCCGTCGCTATAAAGCGTCTGAACCCAGAATCCAGTCAAGGAGTCCGGGAATTCAGAACCGAGATCGAAATGCTCTCGAAACTGAGACACGTCCACCTAGTTCCCCTCATCGGGTACTGCAACGACGGTGGGGAGATGATCATCGTCTACGACTACATGTCGCGGGGAACGCTCCGCGACCATATCTACAAATCCCCAAATCCGCCTCTTCCCTGGAAGAGGCGGCTGGAGATTTGTATTGGCGCCGCGAAGGGGTTGCATTACCTTCACACCGGCGCCAAATACAGCATCATTCACCGGGACGTGAAGTCTACGAATATCTTGCTCGACGATAGATGGGTGGCTAAGGTTTCGGATTTCGGGCTGTCGAAGGTGGGCCCGCTCGGCGGGGCCGAAACCCACGTCAGCACTGCGGTCAAGGGGAGCATAGGGTATGTTGATCCGGAGTACTATAGACGGCAACAAGTGACGGAGAAATCGGACGTTTATTCCTTCGGGGTTGTCTTGTTTGAGGTCCTCTGTGCACGGCCGGCGGTCGTGGCGTCGCCGATAAAGGAAAGAGTGAGTTTAGCGGAGTGGGCCCGGCAGTGCTACCGGAGAGGATCAGTGGAGGAGATGGTGGACCCCAGGCTGACGGGGGAGATTGCGGCGGAGTGTTTGAACACCTTCGCGGAGATCGCGTGCAACTGCCTGAAGGATCAGGGGATCGAACGCCCGGCGATGAGCGACGTCGTTTGGAGCCTGGAGTTTGCATTGCAGCTCCAGGAAGCGGCGGAGAAGAGCATGGGGTATGGTGGCGCCGGAGTCGACGGCGTATCCCTGCCGAACAGCCCGTCTTATCCCCTGCTCGAAAAGGGAGAGTCGTCAATCACGGTGGGTACGACGGCAGATGACGACGGCGGGTTCCTCTCGACGTCGGAAGAAGCTGCGGCGATGTTTACCGGCAGCCGTACTGTTACGTCCACGGCGAGTAGCAGCCGGTTCCAGTCTGATAATGTTTTTTCGGTAATTACTGACCAAATGGGACGTTAATTTAATCCGAATATGTAACGGACCGTTAATGTTACCCGCATTTTTCTGTAGAATAATTCTTGCCATATTTATTTTTACATTTGAATGTTTTAAGTAAAATTTTCTCTTTACTTCTCAAAATCACCTTGGTTCCCATGACATTGGGAACCAATGTCATGGGATGACCCAGAGACGCTCCGGTGCCCCGTTTGTAAAATTGACGGTTTCTACCCCCCCTAACCCCCCCGGTAAACCCCCCCACCCCCTTCAATTGCACCCCACAATTTGACTCCAAAGTCAAAATCAACTTGTGGGGTGCAATTGAAGGGGGTGGGGGGGGTGCGTTCGGGTCGGGGCGGGGTGGGGGAGTTTACCGGGGGGGTTAGGGGGGTAGGAACCGTCAATTTTACGAACGGGGCACCGGAGCGCCCCCGGGTCATCCCATGACATTGGTTCCCAATGTCATGGGAACCAAGCCCTCTCAAAATTATCATCCTATTTCAGATAACCAGACCTTTTTTACCTTATTCCACATTTATTTTATTTAAATAATGTTACAAATTTTTTTAACAAAATGTATATTTTCTTCGTCTTAAATTATTATCTCACTTTCTTTTTCAATCAATTCTAAATTAAAATTTTTTGTCTGACTTTACTATTCTAACAAAGTACTCCCTCCGTCTCACTATCTTTGTCCACTTACCTTTTGGCACATTATCCAATGTATTTCTTTAATACATTTTATCTTGTAATTTGTATATTAAAAAATTATAGAAATTATATATTAATAATCTACGGAGTATATGTTAAGACAAATTAAACAAGATTACACATGACTATATTTAGGCTTATACATTGAGAGAATTTGATGAGTCAAAGTGCTTAGATGAACAGTTCCAAAAGTCAAAAGTGGACAAAGACAGTGGAACGAAGGTAGTAGTAAAGAATATGTGATACATAACTTCTTTTTAAAACAAATTTTAACCATTCACTGTTTATTTTTTTACACTTTTTTTTAACTCCATGAAGTCAAATTGAAACATTAAATTTAATATTGAAGGAAATCTTTATTACAAAAGAAAAACTTTTTAGACTAATAAACATTTTCATATAGCACCAAAACTTTTTCTTAATGACCAACTTTTTACACATGACCATGAAGCACCTAAGAGCATGCCTCAAAGACAAAGAGTTGCCTAATTAAGGACAGTGGAGGCCCAGGCAAGTGCGATAGGTACGTGTTCAACATCTAAACGTTGGACTTGAGCTGGTATAGAGTTAAATGCCAGTCTTTAATGGCTAGCTACCAATGGCTAGAGTTGATTGAAATGCCAATCTTTCAATCTTAAAACTTTGGAATTTTAATGAACTTTCAACTACTCACATGGCTGGCTAGCTATGGATGATACTACCTCCGTCCCATTGTCTTTGTCCAGTTTTGACTTTTGGAATTGTTCATCTAAGCACTTTGACTCATCAAATTTTCTCAATGTGTAAGCCTAAAAATAGTCATGTGTGATCTTGTTTGATTCGTCTTAACATATAGATTATTAATATATAATGTTTATAATTTTTTAATATACAAATTACAAGATAAAATGGATTAGAGAAGTGCATTGGATGGTGTGCCAAAAGGTAAGTGGACAAAGACAGTGGGACAGAGGTAGTATATGTTAAACCAGGAGAAAAAACTGAAACTTGATCCGAAAATACTAGATTTCGAACAAAAGTGATGTTGACTGAACTCGAAGTTGACCAAATCAGAAATGACCATCTAAAATAAGTCAAACTCGAACTCAACCTGATCGATCCATGATGTAAGGGTTTTTTCAAAATCATATACTTTAATTTACTATAATTATAATTATATTTTTTCTTGCTACTCCTTTTTAGTGTATAAATTTATACTTTGGACAAAATTTCAAGGATAATGGGTAATTATTTTACTTTTCCCAAAACTTAGGCATTTTTTAATTCTTTATATTGATTTGTATGCCTAAAAATTACTTCAGAATTTAAAATAAAAATAATATAATAGATTTAGTACATATCTTTTGCTATTTTAAATTTATTTAATGTGAAATGCAGGTGTTAACATGAATTTAAAAATTTGAAAAACCAATGTCATAACCCGTTGGTCGACCCAAACCCGAATCTGAAAGGACTCGAACCCAAAATAACCCGAATCCGAACTGACCGAACTTGAGCCCAACATGACCAACCAATTTGCGTGCTCTAATATAATGGAACCCCACACACATACACACACAAGTGGGCTTTGCGTACACCCATTAGCCATGAACACGATTTGATTCTGGAACCAACGGTCCTTGGTATTATCGAAGATAGTACTGTGGCTGGACATGGCAAAGCGGTGGTCAGGTCAGGTTTGGAATTGGTATTATATATATATATATATATATATATATATATATATATATATATATATATATACACATACATATATATATATATATATATATGTATATGTATGTATGTATGTATGTATGTATGTATGTATGTATATATGTATATGTATAGTTCTAGTGAGAATGAGATCTTCTTAATAGGAAGACTCCTAATATTATTTAGTTTCCTTATTCTTGTATTACCATAATTACTTTATTCCTTTCCTACTAGAAATAGGACTATCTCTTGTAATCCCTATATATAGGAACATATCTCTCAATATTCAATAAGACAAATTATTATCAAATTGTATCATGGTATCAGAGCCTAGGTTTAAACCCTAGCCCTTTTTTTCGAGACTGTGCCTTCACCGCCGGTCTCCTTCCTCTCGCCGGTCGACCATAAACGGCAACCATGGCTCAATCTTCAGATCCCTTGCTTCGCTTCCTTCTGGCGTCAAGCTTCTTCTCCGCAATCTCCATAATCTTATCCCAGAGAAGCTCACTGATTCAAATTATCCTGCATGGTCTCTCAATGTCAAAACTGCTCTCGAGGCCAACCTTCTTCTTGGTTGGATCGATGGTCATGAAGCTGCGCCTCCAAAAATCCTATCCAAGGATGGCAAGGAAAACCCTAACCCAGAATTCCAAACATGGATTGTGATTGATACTCAGATACGTGCATGCCTTCTTGTCGTCATCAGTCCGTCTGTTCACAAGCATGTCCGCAACTTCACCACATCTGCCGATCTATGGAACGCTCTCGCTGCCCGGTATAATTCTGTTTCTACCACTCACATCTATCAACTACGGGACAAACTTCACACACTCCGAAAAGGTACAAAAACTATCACCCAGTACCTTGATGAAGTTGCCACTATCCTCACCGATTTGGATGCTCTCAACGAGGTTATTCCTGAGAGAGATGTGGTGAATGCTGTTATCCGAGGCCTCCCTCATGAATATTCCTCCTTCAAGCAAAATATACGGATGAACAATGAGAATATAAGTCTCAATCAACTCTCTGGATGGCTAACCTCTGAAGAAAAAAATCTTTAAATCGAGCAAAAATTGAGTATTGCAGATTCCGCCTCCGGAGTTTCTCACTCTGCACTGT